ATCTGACTGGATGATCTGGATCTGTAAAGTGAGATGACATGATGTGAATTGGAGCTATAGAAATAAACTGAATATTAGTTTTAAAATTATCATGATTGTCTGTGTGGTTGTGAAGAAATAAAATAACTAGAATGATTCAGGTTTGTCAAAGTAATCCTTAGCATATACTGTAAGGCTGAGGGCTCTGGATGAGTGCAGCTCCTGCATGCTCTGCTGCTGCAGTCTGCAAGGAGACACAATAAAGGCTTTTTAATGGCGGCCTGTAGCCAAAGGTGAGATCTAGAATTCAAGCTAATGAATTATCGAGCATGTTTTATGTTGTAACATTATTAAACATATAATAGTTTCAGTCTTTAGGGGCCCAGAGTGAATGTTTGCATCCAACCGGAGGGCCTCTTTTTGTTTTCTCCACAGTGATGAGTCAACCTATGCTGCTGCTGGGGAGGGTCGGTATGAGGGTGAGGGGGCTAGAATGGAGGACAGCTCTGGTAGGCAGCCCACTCAGCCAATCACAGGGGAGCGGTGGTTCAAACCGGCCAATGGGAGCCTGAGCAAGACGTGTTGCTGCTTAGAGGATCCGGAGGGGGCGGGACCAGCCAGAGAGGCCCCGCCCCCTCCATGCCTTCGGGTTTGGTTGCACACAAGCTGCAGTTTCAGTTTGTTTTATTCACCATTTTGAGTAGCTGAACGTAAAAATAAGGATTTGAGGATTTGGCGAGCAGAATCTAGGCTTTGTTTTATTTTCACGCGCTAGCTTGGACGGTGGAGCCGCGCGCCAGCCTCGCGCCTCTCGGTGTTGTGCAGAGCGGGAATCTTATTTCTTTGAACCCCCCCTCCCTGTTCTTTTCTGCTCCAGCTTCCAGTTTTCCTGCAGAATGTCCAGACCAGTGAGGTAAGGAGCTATGGCGGGCAGCACGCCCGCCTCTATCAGCGTCATGATTCAGGCTCATAATGGAGGAGCTTTGCTCTCTTTCTAACATGGATCCCAGCTGCACGCGCCGCTGCTGGCCGCCTTGCTAAGCCCTGATGATGATGATTGTTGACTGTGATGAAGGTTCCCTCCGTTAGCTGAAAACATGGCGACCCATTCATCCAGGGGGGGCCGCCAGGCAGCCAGCAGAGGGGCCGCGGTCCCCGCAGCAGCTGCTGGCGGTTGGCCTTATGATCGGGTCTGTTAGCGCGCGCGCCGCGCGTGTCGCTCTCACGCTTATTTCTCTGCCTGTTGCTGCTAAGCTAACAGGCTAGCTTAGCTTTCTGGATGGGGTGGAGGAAAACGCTGTGGCTGTGGGGGTTGAACACAAAAAAACGAGCGGGTATATTTTCAGCGCTGTAAATTAACACTGCTGGGTGACGTCACGACAAGGAGGAGGGGTACCAGAAGTCCCCCCCCCCCTTAACCCCGCCCACTCAGCGCCGGACCCCGCTGTGAAGGCAGACATATGAGGCGTCCCTCCGGCTGATCAAACGCTTCTTGGTTCAATTTCTTTATTCTAAAATGTTTTTTTTTTTTTTCATTTATTTAGCAGTAATTTGGAATGAAGGAAATTCTTTCAAACTAGATTATTTTGTATTAAACACATTTTTAAACTGTTAGTTATTTTTAGGAAAAGTCATTATTTACCTGTTTGAAATGTTTCTTTGGGTGCAAATGATCTAAGGTAATTTTTCAAATTGCACGTATTTGTGTTAAAGCTTAATTTCTTCAGAATAAACCACTTTGAATATTTGGTGCATTAGATTAAATCATCAGATTTCTTAAGTGTAAAAAAATTTAATCAGTGAGCGGGATATGAAGGGACCCGCCACTAGGGGGCAGCATCACAGAAGGAGCTCCTGTCAGGCATCCTGTTGTTAAAAGGAAATAAATTAACATTCAGTAGCTTCTTTCAATTTAATATTTACTCTCTAATGCTGGTAGAACTATAAACAGACAATCAACCTGTAATTAATTGTTATTAAAGTTTAAAGGTGAAGTCTGGGTAAAAAACTTTGAAAATCAAAAAAGTAATAATGAATTAGAATAATGGAAAATAACAGCATTGATTT